ATATTTGCCACATTTTCAATGCGTTTCATTCTTGAGGGATGTGAAGATGTGTATATCATTCAAGCTTTCAGTCAACATGGCACATACTGTGACTTTCTGTGGTGCAGTGAATTACTTGACTAAACCCTTCTAGTGTTTGTCAAGTCAGTCACACAGTGATGGGTGGGGTTATGCAAATATGGTGTTTAGACTCTGCAGTGGTTAAGGTTAAGTGTTAATTGTCTGGGCCTAGGTTACTACTGACAGAAGTAGTACTTGATGTTAGAGATGGTGGAGTGGTACAGCAGTTGGGAAAGTTGGATATTAGGGACATCCTTCACCTCACATGAATCATCTCCTGCTTACCCTTATAAAAGAAATTATTCATGTAATTGGTGTCAGGAGGTGGAATTTGCTGCAATAGACCAGACTCACTGGGGAATGTGGTTTTAGAATGAAAAGAGGGTAAATGAGTGAATGAGAAAACTTTGATTTCTGGATGACATAAAAGAAAACCCCAAAGATTAAAGCACCTTGTTATCTTGCGGTCTGTTACTCGAGGTAGAACTTAGTCATGGTCTGTAGGAATAGTGGACCTAACTCCTGAAGCAATGGTTGTTGAGTGTATATATATGGAGAAATGAAGGAAAATAGTAGGGCCTACATTTATAATTTCTTGGTTTGCGTTATTAATTATGCCTGCAATGGCGAGGGAAGTGATTGTAAAATAGAATGCAGAACTGAGCCATGCCGATAGCTGTTCTGATGGGTGTGAAGACCACTTTTTTAGGGCCTATCTAGAAAATCAAACTAAGAAGACTCTGTGAGATGGACTGGCATAGTGCCTGTAACAGTGGGTTTAAGCACAGCATGGGTTATCAGAACAGTCTAGGACTGTGCAGTATTCTGTTCTAGTAGAATAAGATACATAGTATACAATAATAGGGTTGGCATTGGTCTAACAGCTTATTAAAGTTTGAAGATTATTTTCTATGTTGCACTCCTGTGTTGTTGTTGTTGTTGTTGTTGTTATGTGCCGATGAGTCACTTGTGACTCATAACGACCCTATGTACAACAGTCCTAACCTCTGCCCTATCCTGTGCCAATCTCACCATCTCCGACACACCTGCCCCCATTACCCCAGTCACTGAATCAATCCATCTCATCAAGGGTCTTCCCCTCCTGCGCTGTCCCTCCACCCTCCCAAACATGATGTCCCTCTCCAAGGACTGGTCCCTCCTTGCAACATGTCCAAAGTATATCAGATGAAGCTTCAGAATCCTTGCCTCCAAGGAGCAGCCTGGCTTCCCCCTCTCCAGGACAAACCTGTTTATTTTCCTAGGAGTCCATGGTATATTCAATACTCTTCTCCAGCACCACAGCTCAAAGGTATCAGTTCTTCTATCATCCCTAGTCTTTGTCCAGCTCTCTGATGCATAGCAAGTGATTGCAAAGACCATGACATGTATCAGGCACACTTTGGTCTCCAGATTGACATCTTTGCACTTCAGCACTTTAGAGAGATCTCTAACTGCAGACTTTCCCATCACAATACATCTTTTAATTTCCTGGTTGCTGGTGCCAAGAGTGTTGACTGTGGATCCAAGCAAACCAAAACTGTGAACAATCTCAATCTCTTCACTATCCATTATGATGCTGCCAATCGACCCAGTGGTGAGAACCTTTGTTTTCTTGATATTGAGTCTCAATTCATACTGAAGACTGCAGTCCCTGACCTTCCACAGCAAGTGGTTCAGGTCCTTCTCAGTTTCAGCAAGCAGGGTTGTGTCATCTGCATAACACAGATTGTTGATGATTCTTCCTTCAATCCTGATGCAACATTTCTCTTCATAGAGCCCAGCCTCCCTGCACTCCTGTACGATATAAAAATTGTAGGGAACCATCTAGCATGGCTTATGTGTCCTTGTTCATTTCTATGAAATTGAGTTGTGGTTTGTGTATGAGACCTTACCCCTTATAGAGTGACTGTGTCTGTACCTTCATGTTAACCAGAGGCAAGTGTTCAGTGGAGTGAACAATATGGTTTATATTTACTGCTTTTGAAGTTGGTAAGAGATGCCTATACTGAGAAGACGCTTCATAAACACTTCAAAATTCAACTGGAAACCACTGACCACTCAGATAGCTAACAGATAGTAAAGCTTGAGTTTACGTGCTGTGTTATGGTGGTGAAACCCCTTTGTGATATTAGGTTAAACTGGCCATACTCAGGAAATGTAAATCTTCTTATAAGGCAAGATGACATTATTTATGTGTATGTGCATGCATGTGAGTGTAAATAACCTGTACTCTGTCTAAAAAATGAACGATGATGGAAAATTATATGGTTGGTGTAGACTTATGTGCTTTTGTGGGTCAATGCCACATCATACATTAAAAACTCAGTCATGAATGATTCTTAACTTAACCTCGTACATGAGTTAGTTCTGCCAGGGGAAGATTCTTATCTTTATCTCATACATGAGTTCATTTCCAGGAGAAAAAGAAGCTCTCTAGCTCCCACTTTTAAAATGACTAACATAAACATAGGTTGTTAAAGAGTATGTTGCTGTCTGTACAAACTATTCTCACAAGTCTTCAGAGATGCAATTATGAATCTCACTATCAAAAGGTGTTTGAAAGAGTCCTTGTAGCTTACGTGGAATGTCTTGAAAAGGGGAAAAAATATACCACAATTCTACATATTCACAGGTGAAAAATATGTATGTTGTACCGTTTTTGCAGTCCATTATTTAGGTGCTTCTATCCTTTGAACCAATATAATAATATAAAGAAAAAAATGGTTTGTAAAATAAAATTTTTAAAAATCCAGCCAAAACCAATCTAGTGGCAAGAATCTTAGAATAATAATTAGGACTATTTACCTCCGTTAATGAGGAAGTCTTTTGAGACTACATAGAAATGAGTTTCCTCGATAACTATTTCATTGAATAGCAGTAAGACTAAACGAAGACAGATACTCTTGGAAGTGAAATATATTTCCCAAGCAATACTGCAGGTTTCTACCTGCAACCAATTTATTTTTTGGAGATTATCAACTTCTTTATTCTTTATTGATAACACTTTTTTTCTTTTCCGACATGTGCCTTTTAATGTTTTGCCGTTATTTTTTGTTGCCAGTGAGTTGATTCTGAATCATGGCAACCCATGTGTGCAAGGTTAAAAGTGAATCTATTTCTGCTCTTACTTTTTAATACTGAATTTAATGATTATCGGTTAACTTTTTACTAATGTGTATAATGTCATTAGTGTTGTTGTTAAGTGCCATCGAGTCGTAGGTGACTCATAGTGACCCTTTGAACGAAAGTCCTTGACACTTGTGTGACTTTCGTCCTTTCTTCATGTTCATAGGGTTTTCAGAGGCAAGCTGTTTACAGAAGTGGATGCCACTCCTGCTTCCAAGCTTGTTTCAACCAGGGAGTGCCACCAAACACTGTCCACCATGGGTAACCGTTCTCACATTAGGGAATTGGAAATAAGTGGGTCATCCCAAATTGTATCATACAAAAAACCCCTATACACTCCATTTCTTTCTGTCTTTGGAAATAGTGTTTGAACATTTACTTGAATTCAGTTGTGTATGATGTTCTGAGATTTTTAAAAATATACCAACTCTATCCTGGCAAGACAAGATTTGGGAGTGGCTTGAAACTGATCTATTTTTCCTCTCATTCTCTTTTGCTCCATATCTTAGTATCATATATATGTTGTTGTTGCTGTGTGCAGTCAGGTCAGGACTAACCCCTGGTTGACCCTCCAATGTGATTTTCAGAGGCAGTAAGTTGCACGAGAGGAGATTGCCCATCTTTCTCCCATGGGGCAGCTGGTGGATTCAAAGTGCATGTCTTTGGGTTGGCAGTGCAGCTCCTTATAATTAGGCCACCAGAGCTCCATGTATATATTTTTTAAATTTATATATATGTGTGTGTGTATGTGTGTATATGTATATATGTGTGTGCGCATGTATATACATACATATTAAGGTAAATATTTATATATATAATAAATAAATATATATAAATAAATAAATTTAGCCTTTCTCCAGTGGAGATATAATTTGCTTCTTTTTAAATCTTCTCTTGGAGCTGAAATCATTATTATGTGGACTTTAAAAGGTACATTTCTATCGGTAAAATGAATAGAATAAACTGAGATTATGTGTAAATTCTAACTAAGGTGTTTATGCGTTTTTAGTGTACAATTTCTGTGAGGAATAAAAGAGAATATTCTCAGAAGGATTTGAACATTTGTACCAGTGAATTATCTCAAAGTCTTCTTGAATATTATGTTGAAATGATCTGTGGAAATATAGTTTATATTCCTCGACAGAGAATGAATATAGCTAAGACATAATGTCTTTAACCAATTGCAGCCTGCAGGTTTGCACTGACTGCATCAGTAAATGAGTAAATATAGCTCCCCAACAATTAGCTTCATCTTCTCCTCATTTCTGATTTTATAGATTAGATTCTGGTTACAACATCTCTAGGGAAATGCATTACCCACCCAAAGGCCTCACCTGTCCGTCTGGTGGTTAGAAAGGTAGATATTCCCCTCCCACCTCCAATTTACCCAATAGAGGAGCAATTTACCGCCTCCAAAACCCAATGGAGAGGTAGCTATCAGTCAGTTTGGACTTACTGGCCAAGAGTTTGAAATTTTTAAATTTTAAATATGTTGACATAATATTGCCACCATTCTCACATCATTTTCACCCAGTTCTGAAAATCTTTACTGCTTTAAACCTGTCTTGTTTTATTACGTTTATGCATTATGTTCTTATTTGCTCCAAGATTGAACATCCAGTTTGCTCTGAACTGGAAATCTTCATTTAATTTGCCAGGTGCTTTTGCAGTATAGAAGTTTTAAGTAGCAGAGTGACCTAAGAAAAGAGGCAAGGATGATTGTTATTTTATTTGTCAATAATAATATCTAGATCATGCTATGTTCCTCTGTTTGACGTAAGTTTTAAAAAGTATGTGTGTTTTGTTGTTCCTCCTTAGGTGGTGTCTTTGAGCTTTTAAAAGATGATTGTAATCAGATCTACTTGAAAAATCAAGCAAATTGATTTGGTTGGAGTACTGTTTTTAACCGATTCTTTAATATTCATCTGCTGGGTAAGTGGATCTAAGTACTTTTTGTTCGGTTTTATTTCAAAATTATTGGAAAAAAAATCACTTAAGCGCAATACTAAGCTTTATGTGAACTTTTGACAGTTGTGATTTGAGGCCCTCAAACCCTGTGATTGATATCTGGGGGATCATTTAAAGGGAAATGTTTGTGTGTTTTTACCACATTTAGGAAAATATAGTGAACACTGGAAAATTTTTGTCAGTTTATAGTTTGAAACCAGATCCTTTTATATACTATGCTAATGATGGCTTGCTTGTTGTAATCTTGAGGTAATGTGAGCGTATCAGATTTACTGTTTTTTTTTCTATGTGAAATTGTATGGCATTGTACAAATGGAGATGCAGGGGCCATTTTGGATAAATTAGCTAGTCGCCTTATATTAAACCACTCTGATTTTACAGAATGTTTGGTTTCTGTGGTAAGACTAGAAACCAAGGACTTGCTCAAGTCAACTTCCTTGTTGTACTGTGTTTCTATCTCCTGAGATAGAGAACTCTCTACCAGGAGCCGTTCAGGCTTTCAGCAAATTGCTGGTGCTGCCAAGACAGACTTTAGTGGGAAAAGGACTTTGGCTACTGATAAAATGTCAGCATAGTAAAGCCTGCTTTCTCAAGCAGATTCTTGGCATCAAAAATCGAAAAGATACAGATTTTAGGGTTTGGTAATTCTTTTTTTCCTCTTTTAATCCAGGCAAACTCATGCTTTTAATTAACCCTTTATAGTTACAGAAAATGTAGAAAGGGTTCCATATCCCTAGTTTAGGAGCTCGAGTGGCTTAGTGGTAAGGAGTTTTGTTGACATCCCAAAGACAGGCAGTTCTAATTCACCAGCTGCTCCACAAGAGAAAATGGGCAGTTTCCTCCCAATTTACAGCTTCTTTACACGCATTGGAAGGTCAGCTTTGAGTTGGTTCTGACTCAGGAACACAAAGCAACAACAACAAACAGTTTAAGTCACGATAGTTAAATATGTGGCTGCTATAACCAAAAGACCTACAGTTTAAGGCCAGCTCCGTGAAAGAGAGAAGTGACACTTGGTTTCTCTAAAGATTATTGTTGTTGCTGTTATGTGCCATGGATTCAATTGTGACTAATAACAACCTTATGTATAATTGCCTTGAAACCTGCTCTATCTTGGGCCAACTTTACAGTTTGTGACATACCTACCCTCATTACCCTAGTCACTGAATTCATCCATCTCATCAATGGTCTTCATCTCTTTCTCTGTTGCTCCACCCTCCCAAGCATGACGCCCCTCTCCAAGGACTAGTTACTCTCAACATGTCCAAAGTACGTCAGATGAAGCTTCAGAATCCTTGCCTCCAAGGAGTAGCCTGGTTTCACCCTCTCCAGGATGAATCTGTTTTCTTGATCCATGGTATATTCAACACTCTTTTCCAGCACCACAGCTCAAAGGCATCAATTCTCTATTTTCCCTAATCATTGTCTAGCTTTCTGAAATGTAACAAGCAATTGTGAAGACTATGGCCTGGATCAGGTGTACCTTAGTCTCCAGACTGACATCATTGCTCTTCAGTACTCTAGAGAGGTCCTTGACAGCCGACTTCACCAATGTAATTCATCTCTTGATTCCTGACTGCTGAAACCATGAGTGTCGATTGTGAGACCAAGCAAATTAAAACTGTTAACAATCTCAATCTCTTCACCATCTCACATAATGCTACCAATTAGTTCCAGTGGTGAGAATCTTTATTTTCTTCATGTTGAGCTTCATTCCATATTGAAAGCTGCAGTCCTTGACCCTCAGCAGCAAGCTCTTCAGGTCCTCCTCAGTTTCAGCAAGCAGTGTTGTGTCATCTGCATAATGCAGGTTTCTGATGAGTCTTTCTCTAATCCTGATGCTACCTTCCTCCTCATAGTGCCCAGCTTCCTGAATGATCTGTTCTACATATAGATTGAAAAGGTATGGAGACAGGATACATCCTTGGCATACACCCTTCCCTATTTGCTCTGTTCTGATGACTGCCTTCTGGTCCAAGTATAAATTTCGCATAAGCACAGATGTTCTGAGATTCCCATTCGTCTTCGAGTCAGCCACAGTTTGTTGTGATCCACACAGTAAATGCCTTGGTATAGTCAATGAAACACAGATAGACATTCCTCTAGTACTCTATGCTTTCAGACAAGATTCATCTAACATTAGCTATAATATTCCTAGTACCATGGCCCCTTCTCAACCCAGCCTATACTTCTGGCAGTTCTCTGTTCCAGTTGTTTTTGGATCATTTTCAGCAGAATCTTGCTTGCATGTGGTATTGATACTGTTTGATAATTTCCACACTCTGTTGGGTCACCTTTCTTTGGCATGGGAACAAATATAGATCTCTTTCAGTCAGTTGGCCAGATGGTTGTCCTCCAGATTTCTTGGCATCACTTAGTGAGCCCATCCAGGGCAGTGTCTGTTTGTTGAAACATGTCAATTCATATGCCATCAATTCCTGGGGCCTTGTTTTTTTGTTTTTGTTTTTGGTTTTTTTCCCAATTCTTTCAGAGCAATTGAATTTATTCCTTCATCAGGCTCTTGCTCATATGTTGTTTCATGAAATTCTTCTGTGTCAGCCAATTCCTTTTGGTACAGTGATTCTCTATACTCCTTCCATCTTCTTTTAATGCTCCCTGGATCATTTAATATTCATTTAATAAGGATGCTCAAAGTATCCTTAAATACTGCAACTCACAGCTTGAATTTGTTCTTTAATGCTTTCAGCCCTTTTGATTTTCTGACTCCAGCCCTTTGCATATTTCATTATACTACTTTGTTTTGTCTTCCTGAACTGTCATTTGAAATCTTCTATTCAGCTCCTTCATTTCTTGATTTCTTCCCTTTGCTTCCTGGTGCTCTAATGTCTAATCTCAGAGTCTTATCTCACATTCATCTTAGTCTTTTCTTCTCTGTCCTAGAAGGTCACTAGGAGATAAAAGTCTACTCAGTGACTATGGGTTTTTATATTAATTTTAGTTTAGGTAAAAAAAGATTCGAGTTACAGAAATTCTACATTATATTCATGACTCTAAAATTGTGCTATGCTGCAGTCCCAAAGGGAAGCAGTTCTAGGCTACCAGCTTCTCTATGAGAGAAGCATGGGCAGTCTCCTCCTGTCTGATTAGCTCCCTCTGAAAGCCTGCTGGAGAGTCAGCTGTTAATCAGTTCTGACTCTATAGTACACAACAACAACATTGCTTAATTTACTTCTGACTAGACTGAGACTTGAAAAGTCCCATGAACGATAATGAACAAGAGAGGAAAGTGGTGTACAATGTCTCCTGGGTATTTTGTGACAATCATCAGAATTGACACATAGCAGTAGGTTCCATTTGGGTTTGTGGAGAGGGTTATGTAATTTATGCCATGCCAACAACTCCCCTCAACTTTATATAAAAAAGGTAATAATCTCCCTTGAGACAACTGCTTTGGAACTTGATTTTTTTTTTTAATCTTGATTTTTAGTATAGCTTTTGAGCATCTCCTGCATATAAAAGAATCAAGTGTGGCAACCCAGGGAATCTTTTCATTCTGCTTGGAAGGTTCATGTCTCAATATTTATTTGTGACCAATAATCTTCATTGTTACAGACACATGGTACCATTTGGAAAATTTTTGAATAATTAAAGGGCTGGAAGGCAGTTAATGAAAATCCCATCAGGAAGTGAGATGTTAAAACCATTTCAAATGTAAGGCCTTAATTTCTTCAATAGCTTTAATAGATGTTGGAAGACGAAAATTAATACTCAGAACCACTTACTTGAATGCATTTGTCTGCCACGTGTAATTTTCCGTCTTCTTACAAGGTTGACTTTTGTAGTTCCTCCCAAAGTACTCAATAGTGTTAAAGTTCTTTTTCATTAGGTTGGATCTAGTTTAGATTATGCTTGAGATACTGTTTAGTGTGGATCAAAACAAATTGAGGCTAACATTGAGAAAAATGGGAATCCCAGAACTTAATTATGCTGATGTGAAATCTATACTTAGGCCAAGAAACAGGCATCAGAACAGAGCAAGGAAATAATGAATGAATGAATTAAATATCAAGAAAGGGGTGCATCTGGGATTCATCCTGTGTCCATACCTTTTCAATCTGTATGTAGAACCGATCAGTCAAGAGGCTGGACTTTATGAGTAGAAATGTGGCATCAGGAGTGGAGGAAGACTCATCCACAACCTGCGTTATACAAATAATACAACCTTGCTTACCTAAACTGAGGAGGACCTGAATCATTTGCTGTAGAAGGTCGAGGACTGCAGTCTTCATTATGGATTGCAGTTCAACATCAAGAAAACAAAGATTCCCACCACCAGGCCAATTAGTAGCTCCATGATGGATGGAGAAGAGATTGGGATTGTTAACAGTTTCAGCTTGCTCTGATCCACAATCAGCAGTCTTGGCACCAGCATTCAGGAAATCAAAAGACAAATTGTATTGAGAATGTATTTTTTCAGGTACCTTTCCATAGTGCAAAAGAGCAAGGATATCAGTCTAGAGACTAAGGTGTGCCTAATCTAGGCATTTTCTTTACAGTTACTTGCTTCACATCAGAGAGCTGGACAGTGACTAAAGATGACAGAAGAAGAATCAATGTCTTTTAGTTGTGGTTCTGGGAAAGAGTGCTGAATATATGACAGACTGCTAAGAGAACAAACGGGTCTGTCTTGGAGAAGAGGAAACCAGTTTGCTCCTTGGAGTCAAGGATTTTGAAGCTCCATTGGACATACTTTAGGCATGTTTCCAGATGCAGCCAGTCCTTGGAGAAGGACATCATAATTGGAATGGTAGAAGATCACAGGAGAAGACCTGGGTGAGATAGTTTGGCTCAGTGACTGGGGTAATGGCGGCATGTTTGCCAGAGACTGTGAGATTAACTCATGATCGGGCAGGGTTTAAAGCTGTTGTTCATAGGGACAATATGTGTCACAGGTGACTCAATGGCACATAACGACAACAATAACAGTAAGAACAATAACTGTT